TTTTTTTTTTTCTTTTGCGAAAAAGGGGGGGGGGGGGGTTACCAGTTATTATGTACAATTGAAATATTCTTAACAAATACAGATCTTGTTATTCCATTTGTAATAAAAAAAGATTTTTTTCATGGTTTCAACATTTCTGGAAATGTTACATCTCTACCCCAGACCTATTGCAGTCATCTCAGGGCTCCAGACCTTCTGGTATCCCCGAGCCCTGAGACCTTCAGCAGAAACCAGAGGCCCACCATCTCCCTCCCAGCACTCTTAATCTCTCCAGGTTACATTCCCAATGCTTCCAATCTCCACAGGAGGGATGAATATCATTAGTGTATTTTTACTCACTCTATTGTTTGTTGTTTTTTGTGATGTGTTTACAAGTTGACACACCCGACGCCCCTGTTATCTTGTCCTGGACCACCTAGCATCCGCATTTCACCGGGATGAGACAAGAATACCTCAGAATGTCGGCTGAGCACCAGCTCAGAGTGGGTTATCCAGAACCTGCTCATTTCTTTTGATGGTCCCAGTTGGAGTTATGTTTAATTTTGCTTACATACCTAAGACTGTTCTCTCTTTTTTTTCAATTTCTTCTCTTCATGGATCCACTCATACTTACCGCTCCATTGATGGTTCACTGCCTTTTCTTTGGTTGATATAATGACTGTACTGGGAACGTATTTTTGCCTTAATACACTATTTTTGGCGAGTCCATTGGATGGGTCATTGCCCTATTGTTTATTTTTCATGGAGCCTTCCAGGGCTATGTGCCTTAGAACTGGTTATTTACACCTTACTGTTCTTATTGTGTATTTCAACCATTGCGGCTTGTCTTGCTGACTGGAAATACTTCCCTTCTTTTTTGCCTTGTCTGTCTATCCTTCTCCCCATCTTTTGCTTTTTCCCTTTCTATCTGCCTTCCTCATTTTCCCACCCTTTCCCCTCCCCACCGTTTTCTGTATTCCTCGTCTGCAAGAGAACCAGCATGGTACAATGGTTTGCACCTTAGTTGCCATTTCTTAATAAACGTAGGTATATTTAATTGTGATATTGTTCTTTTTCTGATTGCATTTCTTGTTCTTTGGCATCAGTATAGCTGGTTAATATACTCCCATCTTGCAGTTGTTTTGGTTATTGCACCATGTTTGTCTGTATTCCCTCCCCTTGTGTGTGATGTACTTCCCTTCTACTTCAGAATCTCATGGCCACATGGTAATCTGCTCGCATGGGGGGGAACATTACAAATACTGTCTTTTGAATCATCTACTGCAACTTGTTGTCTGCTGTAACCTGCTGCATCTTTGTGGATGAAAAGGTATTTGGTGAGTTTAGCTCTCTGATGAGGATTGTCTGCGGTGATTATATCTGCTTATACAGGCCAGGTATAGAGGTCTCACCAAGCAGGCCATAGATAATTTTTTTTTCCTGGGGGGGTTCAGCTTCCTCAAACTTTAAAAGACTTTATCTAGCAGACACACCAAGGTTTGAAAAAACATACCAGCCATATCCTTCCTAAACCAATCCTCTACCTTGAGCAATACCAATTTTGTCACCATGTG